GGTTGTCGAGGCGTAGGGCTAGGGTTTAGGTTTTTAGGGCCTTGCCGCCTTAGGCCCCCTTAGGGTTTTAGGGCTTGCGATAGCATGGACAATCTTTTCCTAAAGAACTAGCAGTCTCTTTGATGTCTATTAATATTATAACCTCCTGTGAAATGCTCAAAAGGAGTTCGATTTCTTGAATTTTCAGGAGAAAAAAGAAAGAAAGCTGTAAAACGTATTCACTAGTCTAAGGGTTTGAGGAGCAAAACGGAAAGAAAGAGAGTTGAACAGTAGTGTCATAGTAGAATGGACTTGCCAGTGTTGCCACTCTTACAACAGAAAAGCTGGAATTACGCTTTAGGGTTGTAGGGTTGTAGGGTCGTAGGGTTAGGGTTTAGCTTTTTAGTGCCTTAGGCCCCCTTCGGATCTTAGGGCTTGCGATTCATGCTTTAGAGCTTAGGGTTCAACTTGTTTGGGGGTTTCAATACAATTTTTCGACACCGGGCCGCCTATAATGACAAATTATGCGCAACAGGTTTCCGGGTGCAGGGCTTAGGGTTTAGGGTTTAGGGTTTATCGTGTAGGGTCTTAGGGCTCAGGATTTGTGCTTTAGGACTTTGGGTTCATCTTGTTTGGGAGTTTTAATAACAAGTTCACCTCTCATAAGAAAGCAACAAGAAATGACAAAGTCTATGGAATGGCTTTCAGGGCTCAGGACTTGGGGTTTAGCTTGTGGGGGGTCGCACTTAACAACTGAATGGGCCAATGGCTTATAGCCTTATAAAACTGAGAACTGACAAACTAGGGGCAATGGGTCATAGGGTCTTAGGGTTTAGGGTTTGGGGGGTTTTAACTACAGCTAGACATCTTGTAGAAATGAGAAATCACAACTATGTGGAAGGGCAGGCATACATGGTTACCTTGAAAATTATGACTGAATGAAATAAAAGTCAATGAATGGATGAATGAATGAAGTGAAATGGTTTGGATAAATATGCAATAGGATGTAGAATACAGATGCACCTCTGGATAACAAAGACAAAAAATGTGGGRAAAAAAAAGAAGGAAACTGTTACAACAGAGTGCAGATGTAAGCAAGATCTACCCGACAAAGACAATCATATGGAAATACACAAATATGTTGAAATCATTAACTAAGTTAGTACTAACTCACTGGTCAACAGAGAGCGCGGGGGGGGGGTGGAGGGATCAGAATCAGCGCGAAAATACTGTGGAAATCAGAACGAATTATGAATTTGATGGTCTGGATGGTGTTGCCTCCCGCTCATATAGTGACAGGTCACAGATGCCATAAGAAGAGTGATTTAGTTCAGTTCCCCCCCCCCCCCCTGCCCTGACTGCATGAGAAGAAAAAGGTCTGTAGAATGATGTTCTTTTCTCTTCTCGTCGTCCTAGGATGATGCTCTTTAAATTTCTCTTTTTTTTTCTCCCTCCATGCAAAGAATCAGACACACAGGAGTCAGTAATGACCCTCTGTATGTGCACTTTTCTTGTCGTTACTACGGTTTTGCTACCTTCTTCCCCCGAATAGAACACACGGTCATTATAGCTGTATTTGGGGCAGCTTTCAGCATAGCTACAGTGACAATGACCGCGCGTTCTACTYGGGGGAAGATGTTGGATAGCTCTGGCGCTTCRAAAATACATGGTTGTATGATGGTACTTCATTGGGACACCACTCTAGTAGATGTGCAGGCAAACTGTCAGCATAGCTACAGTGATAATGACCATACTTCGTTGGGACACCACGATAGAAGATGTGCAGGCAAACTGTCAGCGTGAAACAGGACAACGATGTGTTGGCTTCCAGAAGGTATCCCTTTCTATTTTTTGTCTGGTACAATTAAGRGGGGGGCGGGGAGGGGGCTGGGGTAGGCCCCTAAGGCTGTTGTATTCATCGGATTGCAGCACTGCAGCAGGAAAATGCCGGGGATTCAAGTTTCTGATTTGCTTATGAAGAGGTATGTGTATGTCCCATTCAGCAACAAGGCACGTCCCAGTTTTCTGCATACGACAGCACATTCAGCCTGAACACCTTAATGATTACGGTGTCAGGCACACAACGGTCACAACCAACATCATGCCATTCTTTTGAAGTTGTCCCTTGTTTGAAGTTTTATTTATGGACCCGAAACTGGTTAAGTGCCTCGTAGGCTCGTACCTCAATGAGCTGAGGTGCGATTTGCTTGCTTGCTCCCTAAGGGTTTACATCAACGCTCACCTCCAAAAGTTGTTAGCTTTTGCTGGCTCACTTACCACATTCACGAAGATTTCTGGAGGCAGCAAAGTTAAACTTTCGTTACTTAGGCTACGTAGGGAGGCATCAAGCAAATCTGGAGGCCTTAGTGCGCATTTGGAGCGACCTAAGGGAATGGTCGTGCGCTGAGGAGGGCAGGGCACGGCAGGGTATTAAGACATGAGAGGAGTGTTCCTTCCAGAAACCTGTTGCACACACACACACACACACACACACACACACACACACACACACACACACATATGCAGGGATATCAACCTTGGCCGGGCGGGAGGAAGTTCGGGAATGAGACAGCTGACCCCATGGGAAAGGAGACCTCCACCACCACCCCCTGTAGCGCCTTTTTCCTTTCAAGTTTTTTTCCATTTTTTTCCTCTTGTTTTCGCCCCCTTTTTCTTGAAACCTTTTTCTTTCCCTTTTCCCTTTTTTCTTTTGTTCTTTTTTCCTTTTTTTCTTTTTCCTTTTTTTCTTTCTTGTTCTTTCTTCTTTCTTCTTCCCTTTCTGTTTTCTTTTTCTTTTTCTTTTGTCTTTTTCCTTTCTTTTCTTTTTCCTCCCCCTTCCCCCCCTTTTTTTTTTCTCTCTTTCTTGCTTTTTTCTTTTTTTCTTTTTTTCTTTTTTTCTTTTATTACTAATAAATGGGGGCCTAGGAGACGATCCGTTCGCAGCCCTGGTCATGATGCAATGACCATTGAAGCGACGATTAAGCCAACCAAGCCACCCTGGGCTTTTCGCTTTCCGCCGGCGTCCTCCCTGACGGCTGACTCTTCGCACCTCGTAGTGTATCAACTCCCTACGCTTGGCGGTGGTAGTGCTGCGCTCTCCCTTCCTCCCCCTTTTTTTTCCCTCACTGTTTTTTTCCGTGTCTAAAGCAGAATCGTTCGCTTCCCTTTCCTTTTTTTCCCTTGTCTTTCTCTCTGTTGTTCTGTCGTCTGTCTTTGTTCCTTTTTTCTTTTTTCTTTTTTCTTTTTTTCCCTTTCTTTTTCTCTCTCTGATTTTCTTACGTCCAACGGATTGGCGTACTAAACGAACGGATGGTGCGGGAGGCGTTCGACATAAGGGTACTATACGAGGTAGGGCGAGGACTATTTTAGGACCGGGCGCTTGAGTAGTATTCACCTTTGCACCAAGCGACTCGTGGCTCTGAAAAGGCGGGAAAAGCGCGGTGTGTTTCGATTTTGGCGGGAGCATTGTACAGCCTGATACGACATGGACTTCTTCGCCGAATGGGACCAGGAGGAGGAGCAAGCGCGGGGAAGAGGAAGTGGTAATACTCTCGGCGTGAGGTCCTCCGTTTTACCTCCCCAGGCGCGCGTCAGCCTTGCGCTATGTAGGACTCCGCAACGTGCCCAGCTGCGTTCGCCATGCCCAGTGAATGCGCGTTCTCGCCTACGCTGAGCGCGTGCCTGGCCCTGCTGCTCTTCCTTGCCTTGCTGCCTAACTTAGCCATTGCCAGTCTTCTCTTCGCTGCCTGCCTCTCAGAGAGGGTGCTGTTACGGACTTCGTCCAGGGGCTTCGCGACGCTTATTGCTGGCACGATCTGTTTCAGCGCATTTTTTCTGGCGGGCTGTTGCTGCCTGCTCTTTTTGCTCACAGTTGACAGCGGACTATTCGACGGGAGACCATAGCGCGCATAGAACGCAATGGATTCCAAGATGGCGACGGGGACTTCATCGCACACTTTTTTAGCGTTTATTTCTTTTTTGTCCTTTCTTTCCTTCCTCTACTTCATCTATTCTCTCCCATCCCCCTCCCCTCCAGGACTCTGCCCCCCCTGCCCCCCTTCTCCCTCCCCCTCCCTGACCCTTACCGCCCCCCCTCCTCGATCCCCTTCTTCCTCACTACACACACCCCCTTGCCCTTCCCCCTTCCCCTGGCCTTTTTTGTCCATCGGTGTGCATCATCCTGTGTTGATTCTATTCTCCCTTCTCCATGATTCGCTATCTAGTCTTCGTTTGTATGCTTCGCGGTCTTTGGTTTGCATCACACGTGGATGGTTACTTGCATTGTCAAATTTAAACGCGTTTCTCGGGTGCTTCTTGGTTGCATAATTGCTCGATTATCTTGATGGTTGGACTCTCATCCCAATGAATGTGAATGGCTGCCCTCGTTGGTAAAATTTTGGATTTGTCCATTGTGTTTTGCTAAGGATGGATGCTTGCTTTGCCAAAAGAAATGGATCGTTGCCACTTTATCTCCCTCGTCCCAGTGGGTTTCGTATACTTCGTTTCGCACGGCGAAAAACGGCCTCGCTCATCCTCACCGCAATGGGGCGTACTTTGAGGTTTTACCCCGCCACGTTTTGTTAGCACCTCCGCGCCTTGTACCCTGCCCACAGTGTGCCAACGCGTACGTTCGGAGCTGCGTGAGCATGACGTGTCGTGCTCGCGCGTAACTCATGTGACTCACACATGCGACACACACACACACACACACACAGACACACACACACACACACACACACACACACACACACACACACACACACACAAAGTGCAGATGCGCGGTGCAGAAAAAATGGACAAACACAAAAGCGCACACATCTACACGGTCATATGTGTGCGAGTGGGCAAAGCCCGTTGCCACTGTGTACGGAGACGTTTTATGAGTCTGGCTAAGGTACAGCGGCAGACATGCAGGGGAGCATGACGATAACGATGATGTTGTGGATGAGGAGGTCTACAATGACGATGACCGCGCTGACCCTGACGTCGATGATGTGATGGATGACGTGGTGTTGATGCAGGAAGAGCAGCAACTTGTGTTTGAGCTCCATGGTCGATTTGGTAATCAGTGGGCGCGGATCGCGTCCCAGATGCCGGGCCGTACAGACAACGAGATCAAGAACTTTTGGAACACGAAGCACAGGAAGCTGAAGCAAAAGAAGGTGAACGGGGAGAAAGGAAGCAGTGATGGGGCTACAAATGCTGGTGCTGTGGGAGGAGGGCCTGGCGCTGTTACAGCTTCGACGGGAACGAACACTGCTGAAAGCAGCGGGGCTGGTGGCGGGGAGAGAGGGGGGGAGA